GGAGCAGTATGCACAGTTGTATATCAACGAAATAGTCAGGTTGCATGGCACTCCATTTTCTATCATTTTTTATCGGGGGGCACAGTTCACGGATAATTTTTGGAAGAAATTTCAGCAAGGTTTGGGTACTCAGGTGAATCTTAGTACAACCTTTCATCCACAGATTGACGAACAGGTAGAGCGGACTATTCAGACGCTTAATGATATGTTGCGCGCTTGTATTCTTGACTTTAAGGGTAGCTGGAATGATCATTTGCCACTCATAGAATTTTCCTACAACAATAGTTATCATGATAGCATTCAGATGGCACCGTTCGAGGCTTTATATGATAGGAGATGTAGATCTCCCATTGGGCGGTTCGAGATTGGGGAAGCAGAATTGATTGGACCGGACCTCATGCATCAGGCTATGGAGAAGGTTAAGATCATTAAGGAGCGGTTGAAAACTGCTCAGAGTCGTTAGAAGTCCTATTCGGATGTTTGTCATAGGGATTTGGAGTTCAAGGAAGAAGATTGGGTATTCTTGAAGGTTTCTCCCATGAAGGGTGTAATGCGATTTGGTAAGAAAGGAAAATTGAGACCGAGGTATGTCGGACCGTACATAATCATTCAAAAGATTGGTGAGGTGGCGTACAAGCCTGAGCTACCACCTGAGATGTCATTAGTGCACCCGATATTTCATGTGTCTATATTGAAGAATATGATTAGAGATCCGTCGCTTATTGTTCTGGTTGATACCATTGATATTAATGAAGAATTGACTTATGAAGAAATTTCAGTTGCAATTCTTGATAGGCAAGTTCGAAAGTTGAGAAACAAAGAGATTGCCTTCGTGAAAGTACTATGGCAGAACCAGCAGGTTGAAGAGGCCGCATGGGAGGTTGAGGAAGAAAAGAAGAAGAAGTACCCTCATTTGTTTGAATAGCCATGAATTTATAAAGTTGTGTTATATGAAAATGCTAAGAGTTACCTTCTATGAATTATGTATCAATTGTACAGCTGATGTTAAAGGTGTTCCTTTATGGTAGTATACTGCTCGTGAGGCCACGATTGGCATTGTTTTAATGTTATGTTGTGTCGTTGGTTCATGTATATATTGTTAGTACTGGTTTTAGTGATTCTCTGGCAGGTGGTTAGGCCCATTGCAGAGGAGACTCTGCCGAAATTTCTGAAATATTTGGGAGTTAGTCAAATTTGGGAGCTTAAGATGTGTGGAAGAAGAAATGAGTTATGTTAAGTGTTTGGGGACGGACTCTACCCCTCATTCGAGGATGAATGATCCTAAGCGGGGGAGAGTGTAAGGCCCCGTAAAATTTTGCTAAGGAATTTAAGGTTCCGTGGTGCCAAGGTAGGCTAAATTATTGTATTCTCGGACTTTTGGGTTGAACAATGTGTTGGGAATTGTATCACTTCGACCTCGCGTCGCCAGCTCCTAACGCGTCAGACCGTGCTATAACCCTCATGAAGCCAGGTCTGTAGCGTGCTAGACCATGCTATAACCCTTACGAAGCCAGGTCTGTAGCGCGCTAGACCGTGCTATAACCCTCACGAAGCCAGGTCTGTAGCGCGCTAGACCGTGCTATAACCCTCACGAAGCCAGGTCTGTAGCGCGCTAGACCGTGCTATAACCCTTGCGAAGCCAGGTCTGTAGTGCGCTAAACCGTGCTATATCTCTCGCGAAACCTGGTCTGTAACTCGCTACAAAGCTCGCGAAGCCTGGTCTGTAGCTCGCTACAGAGCGTGCCTAGCCTGGTCTGTAGCTCGCTACAGAGCGTGCCTAGCCTGGTCTGTAGCCCGGTCCGAATTTTCGAGGGTCCATTTTTCTAATTTATAACCCGACCCTGGTTCCAATAAAACGATCTTAGGGTCATTTTGGATGGTTAGTCTGATATTTTTAGAGAGGGAAAAGTGACTTAGAGTGAGAGGAGGAATTCCTAATCCCTTGTTCATCAAATCTTCCTCAAGCCTTGAAATTCAACAAGAAACCTCACAAGTTCTTCATCTAAGAGGTAAGGTTCCATACCTTAGTTTTCAATTTCGAATTTGGGTAGAAGATGGTTGATTGAGAGTATGATTCTTAAGATGGTTGATTGAGAGTATGATTCTTGGGTATAAGAGTATTATTTTTATATGCATGTACCAATAAGGTTTGTGGGAAGATTGTTGAGCTCAAATAAGTAAAGATTGGGTTGTGGAATGAAGGAAATCTTGTAGAAGAACTTTGTAGCCAAATTTGCACATCTAGTGTTTGATAAAATGCTCAAATAAGCTGAAACCATGAATATCTTTCTAATTATGGTTTAAGTTTATTATGTTTCTAAATAGATTGAGGTTGCTAGAGTTTTCGAAACATTGTAGTAATTTAAAGAAGCTCAAAGCAAGGTATGTTGGCTAAACTCTTCTCTTAGAATTGAACCCCACATTATTCTTGTACGTCTCAAGTTGCTCATCACAAATCGACTATTCCGAATAAGCTTTGTGACAAGAGATATATGTTCCGTACGTGTTCCAAATGTTATTGTTACGTTGTGTTACCATTGTGAGAACGTGTTCAAAGTATGGATTGCATATCTAAATGTATAACTTCAAGACGTGTTTCAAATGAAACTATGATACTAAATTGTGTAGAGATTGTGATTGGGATTACATCTTCACAAGTATATATTGGGGTGAGGCGGCAAGGACGCTTTGTGTAGAGTCTTGATATTGTGGAATACACCTCCACCCGAGTACCTTGGGGTGAGGCGGCAAGGCCGCTTTGTGTAGAGCTTGGTATTATGGAATACACCTCCACCCGTGTATCTTGGGGTGAGGCGGCGGGGCCACTTGTATAGAGTTCCTGGTATTGTGATTGCACCTCCACCCGCATATATTGGGGTGAGGCGGCAAAGCCGCTCTTTGTAAAGGTAGTTGTAGAGGATCTCTGACTTAAAATTTATAACTGTTATTGAAAGCTATTGATAAATTTGCGTTGGCTTTAAAGGCTATCTATGCTAGTATATTGTCACCCTGATTCATCACATTCATGTTGTATTTCCATGTTCTTGAATAGATGTTTTGGTTTTCATACTAGTACTATTCGGCATGTACTAACGTCCCTTTTGCCGGGGGTGCTGCATCTTTAATGGATGCAAGTAGTTCCACAACAGGAAACATTGACCAGTGATCGCGGTACACTCTTTTCCCATCTGACTTGGTGAGCCCCACTTCATTCCGGGGTTGTGCATCTTTTGTTCCATATGTACTATGTTTTGAGGTATAGCTGGAGCCTTGTTGCCCGCACTATCATTATACTTTTTTATATCTATTGGAGGCTCCGTAGACATGGTGTGAGTTATGTATTGATATTGGGAAAGTCAAGATAGAAATGTTGTATGTGTGTTACATCTTCCAATTCAAACTATGAAAGTGTGTGTGTATTTTGAAACTTTTAAAATGAAGTTATAATCTCTTTATTTATGGGTGAGTTGGGTAGAAGGAAATCTAGTAGGCTTGCTCGGCCGGGTTATCTCGGTTGAGCGCCGGTCGCGCTCCCCGAGGTCGGGGTCTGACAAATTTAGTAACTCAAACAAAGTTCAAATCAATACAAATGCTAACAAAAGAAATTTAATTCAACACTAGGAATTATGATTGTGTTGGATATCTATTTTTTAGTTTTACATTGGTTTATAATGAAAACGCATAACTTAGTTTATCTTTTTCTTTAGTGCTTAGTAATGTAATTAATAGTACTTATTAGCTATACTTATTTTAGCATGACTTATATAGTATTTTTAGATTATGTTAACTTTCATTATGGCTTATTAATTAGCAATATTTGCTTTATACAATTTTATTATCTTTGTTATTGAATATTTTAGTATAATGCTATGACTTATCTCATATTATTGTGTTTTTTTCTTGGAAAATATATTATATAGTTGTATCTTACTAGAACTAAAGAAATAGTTGGAGTACAAGTTACATATTTTGTGCTATGAAGATTTTATCGGAAAAAAATTGAAAATCCGAAAAAATCGAAAAACCCAAGAAAAATCGAGATTGAGAAACACGATTTTGTTGGTTTTATTTGGTATATAGATTTAAAAATCCAACACTATTAATTTGGTTTGGTAATTGAAAAATCCGAGCCAACCCAACCGATGTACACCACTTATGAAAATGTGTAGTGACTAACTTTTACTTAATAATAGAAGTGCCGGTAAAGACACATGTTATTTACTAATAGACTGATGTGAACATTCGATAATATAAATTTTATTTGTTCCTCTAATCAGTAACAAACCAAATATCCTCTCAGTCGATATTCTTCGGAAGGACTCAATCCTACAGAGGCGAAGCAAAATCACATTAAAGATGATACATCATTACGTCAATCGCCACAGTTCCTCCTCGAACACAGAAGAAAAAACCTCTTGAAATAAATATATGAGGTAGAAAATAATCTATGGGTAATCTTTGAGTTTAAAGTTTACTCATGGTTAGTTGTACGAAGAAGTTCTAAACCTAAATTGAATAATCAAAAGAATCGCAATCTAATCTTCTCCAACTTCCCTATTAGATTAGCCAAACTTATCCTATCCTGCATAAAACCAAGTTCTTGTGCCCTACTACTACTAAGGCTACATACCTTTCACTTAGGCAATAAAATCTCTGTTTTTTTACAAAGTTATTCTGGAGTGGTGAACTACGCGAGTTGAGTTCTCAAAAGTGATTTACTGGATCAGTTAGTGACGAGTCCATCATGCTTTCTTTATCTCTCAACATTATTGTTTTAAGCATTTCGTATTACCTCGGCATTTACTGTTTTCTACAAAATCATTTTCACTTCACTGCTTACCATCATTTAGTAATCCAAAGACATTAGTCTTAGCACTGGATCCCAACAATACTAATACTGAGAACATAGATGAGCCTCCTAACAAAGAAGATTGATGAGATGAGCACGAAACAGGTTCATATAGTCGAAACTTGGAATGGAGAGTTATGCACATCTTGTATTAATTGAAGATGAACATCTTTTAATTCTGTATCAGTATCATGATGTAATGTACTATAAGTAGAAGATCAATAAGCCAATGTTAAGAGGGTCAAATCCACCCCTGGCTTTCTAACCCCATTCTCTTATATCATGGCGAATGAATACAAAAGATACTATTCCCTGTTCATGAATCTGAATTGAGAAGGCATTATGGAATAACCTTTTTTAGACTCAGAATGCATAAAAGTTTCAAAAGGCTACACAAAGACTAAATGGATTTTATAGGCGATAAATAATTAAATCCCCAAGTGATGGTACTAGTAACTAGTACCATAACATAACCAACTGTAGCCACTTATTACCTAGTTTCCGAAGATATTCTCCAAACAAATGACAAGCATAGCTCTAGTATCTGTGTTCTAACTTCTCTTTTTCTTTGTACATCTGCACATACCTGCAGTCAAAGAAGGCAATAATGGATTAGCGATACACATCATTATCAATCAATTCTACCTCATCAAGCACAGATAAATTTGTTCGAATACCAATCAATAACACAAGCCATCCTACCAACTAAACAAAAGATTTTGGTCTAACGGATGAAGTTCAAATAAATTTCTTCAACTCTCGCCGTCCAATATAAAAGAACTGAGTCTCCAGAAGCTTAAGCTTATTGATAACCACCAGAATCCCAAGATAAATGATAACTTTCAACCATCTTCTGTGCATATATGAATCTACTGTCCAGAATTAAGCTCAAATTGTGTCATCCCCATTAAATCTGATTATTCAATCCAATTACAGCCTAAATTTTAAGATATTTACAGATGTAATCAATTCTACTAACTGGATACAAAAGGATGTGAGTATTTCGTCTGTAATACTTTTGCAGTAGACTTCATTTTAGAATTAAAAACTCATCAACTTGCAAAGATTTATGGTGAACTTTCAAGGTCTTCAGTCTTCTATCAATTAAGAACTACTTTTGTAAGCTACTTATATATAAGATGTCTGTACTAATAACTAGTTTCTCACTTGAGCTTATCCTGAGACTTACAGACATCTAAATCACATTCCTAGTTGACTTGCATCCATCTATAACTGCAGATTGTAAAGTCATATTCAAACTTTCCACGATATGAAGGATTATTTGATACATTTCATATATACATACCCTTTTCTGGAGGCATTTTATGCTTAACGTATTAATTTAAAGCTCTATTAAGATCTTGACAAAATCTTGAATCCTAAATTAGTTCGACTCTCTTTGTAAAGTAGAATTTTAAACTTTATCAATTAGAAGCATTATTATTTGAATTGGATGGGCCAACATAGAGTGGGATTAATGAAGAGTATCCATATAGCCGACCACAACTAGTATGGTATTGAGGGATAGTTGATTGATTGATCGTCCAAGCAACATCACGATTTGGCAAACTAGTACTACAGGTACAATTCAAGTTAACCCGAGGCAAATTCTGGAGGTTTGCCCCCAACTCAAGCATTATATATGCCAAGTCCAGCTCGTATAACGAGTCTGAGCTCAAAATGCATTTTCTTAACAGAATTTAAAAACTATAAGTCTCTCACGCAAATAAAGAAGGTATTATTATAATTTCTTTCGGCTATATCAGCCAAAAATGCGTTTTAATCTTCACACATATAATGTTTTAACACATATCGAATCCAATATTACCATAACCAGATAATAACTGTTCAGGAACATAAAAAGGCCAAGGTTGAGCCTGTACAAGGTCGGCTCATATATGCGTCAACCTTAGCACATAGTTTTCTTTTTAAAAGCCAGTAGATAGTTAATAGATCATCCCTACAACAAAAGTCAATCATGGGCAACCCAAAACTAGAAGTGCATAAAATTAACCATAGAATCGAAAAGGGAAGGATTTATCAACATAATAAATATTTCTAATCCTGAGGTAATACTTAATAGCCAATAATGTGCTTTGATCATCACATGTCTTAGAAAACATCGGCCATAGTTTAAGCATTTTTTTTCTTCATAAGAAAAACATTTAGATATTTTAATATAAGTACTAACTGTAATTATATTTATACAATTTTCCATGAACATAAAAGGGCCATGTTTGAGCTTATACAAGCAAATGCTTTTGTATTAATAAGATTGCAGATACTTAAAGAATACACCTAGAATGAAAGTACATAAAGGTCCCAGTCCCTGAAAACTAAAAGTGCCTAAAACCTATACATTTACTAGAAGCTAATAGCCAATAATGAATTTTGATAATCACACGGAAGGTCTTAGGAAGCATCAAAGACAGTTTATATGGTTACTCAATCTAATATACAGCAACTGTCAATAAACATAATTGATCATGAACGTAAAAGGGCCAACTACAAGCTTACACAATTTTGGCGAATTTATGAGTAAGCTATAGCAAAAGTTTTCGTTTTAGTGACTTAGCAGACATTTAATAGAGATCACCTAACAGAAAAGTAAAGTATCTCCCGAGTCCCCAAGAAACTAAAAGTGCAAGACTAACTAAAGCCTCTAACAGAAAGTATTAGTCTTTTTTTAAGAAAGGTAGAGAAAGAAATAAATGTTTACTTACTAACAAAAATTCTTCTAATACATCAACTATTTACAATATAATCCCTCTCTCTCCAACTCCGCTCTCTTTTGTTGTTTTGAACAGTTGGATAGGTATGCACTATGCAGTAACCTTGTGAAGAGCTAGTGTGACTGTGGTCCTTCAAATCTAAGGTCACACGTAATTCAGAAACCAAGGCAACACAAAGGAAGATGACATATAGCCTGTTTGGCCAAGTTGGAAAATCAGTTTATTTTGAAAAGTGCTTTTTCCAAAATAGTACTTTTGGAGAGAAGCAGTTTGTGTTTGGCTAATCAATTTGAAAAACACTTTTGAGCAACAATTTGTGTTTGGCCAAGCTTTTAAAAGTTGTTTTTAAGTATCAAAGTACGAACAAGGACAAGAAGAAATTTACTTAGTAGTTATATTATATAAGTAAATAAATAATCTCAAACTTTATTATTAAAGACAATAATTAAATCTTATCATTCTATTTAAGTAAAATATGAAAATAAAACTGAAAAGTACTCTAATTCTTTTAAGATGATTCAAATATATCAAAAAACCATTCAATAAATATAAAAGCATTCACCCCAGAAGTCACTATATATTAGAAAGAAGAAATACTTATACATTAATATCCTAAGTATTAGGTTTAAAATAAGTAAAGTTATTTTGGTATATACTATATTTTATTAAAGGTATTTTTGGTAAGAAGAAAAGTCAAAACTGCTTCTGCTTCTGCTTTTGGGGTGAATCTACTTTTTTCAGCTTCTTAAAAACTGTTTCTGCTTCTTCCCAAAAATACTTATTTTCCCTCCAAAAAGCTTGGCCAAACACCTCAAATTGAGGAAAAAAGTACTTTTTGGAAAGAAAAAAAAAACTTTTGGCTCTTGGAGAAGCTTGGCCAAACAGGCTAATAGTCTAACAACAAAGTCAGAAATACTTTGGAAGGAACATGACATCACCATCAGAAACAACGGAGTAGAACGAGAATTTATGCTCGAAACAACTCATCCACGAACTAAAGCCCAATCTCGACTCCCCTAAGTAATCTCAAGCTCAACTTGTTTATTCAGGAGCTCAGCTCAAGCTCAACTTTGAACTTCTTTGTTACATGGACTCCTAGTATAAGCTCGGACAGTCTGACATGGCTCATTTATGTCCATAAGCAATCTATTTCTCCACATAAATATGTAGAATATCTAAAGTCATAAATTGTGTTGAATCTTTTCTTAAATGTCACACCTTTAACGGTCGAAGTACCTTTTGTAGTTATTAATATCAAAAGATTAAAATTAGCTCATACCAAATAAGAGCTCATTTGAGCTTGTTTAACTTACGGAGAATGATTTTTGCAAGCTTAGTGTTAGATTCTAGCTAACAAGAGAAACAGAGAAATGAAGAGGAAGAAAAGTTCAATCTATATTGTCTAAGAGAGAGGTCGTTCAATACAATGTCTTATAGTGCTAATGTGCATTAACTAATTGACAGCACATAGCTAGCTGTCAAATAATCCAACTAACTACTTAACTGATATTGTAACTAATTCAAAGACCCCTTATACTTCTATTGTGTACACTTTAATACCCTATATCCCAAGACTCCCCCTCAAGCTGGAGAGTGAAATGCATTGAACACTCCTAGCTTGGAGAGAAGGATACAGTGCTGAGCAACACCAAGTCCTTTTGTCATGATGTCAGCCAACTGAAGCTTTGTTGAAACATGATTAGGTGCGAGCAGTCCATTTTTGATTTTCTCCCGGACAAAGTGACAATCTATCTCGATGAGTTTTGTTCTTTTATGAAAGATAGGATTTGCTGCAATTTGGAGAGCAGCTTTGCTATCACAATAAAGATCAACTGGTTGATGCAATGCAACATTCAATTCTTGTAATAGGCCAACTAGCCAAGTAACCTCAGCTGCTACTGCTGCAAGACTTCTATATTCAGCTTCAGCTGAGCTACGACTTATAGTTTGCTGCTTCTTGGACTTCCAAGATAGCAAAGAGTCCCCCAGTTTTATAACGTATCCAGTGATCGACCTACGTGTATTTGGGCATGCTGCCCAATCAGAATCACAGTAGGCAGAGAGATGAGAGATAGGACCTCTTTTGAGAAAGACACCTAGTCCGGGTGAGCCTTTGATGTATCTGACTACTCTAAGTGCAGCATCCAAGTAAGACTGTTTAGGATGTTGCATGAACTGACTTAACACTTGCACAACAAAGCATATGTCAGGTCGTGTGATGGTCAAATAGAGCAATTTACCCACTAGCCTTTGGTAACATGCTATATCCTGCAATTCTTCATCTCCATTGTGTCCTACATGTTTGTCATACTCTGTGGTAGTCAGTTTCTGATTTAGCTCAATAGGAGTAGAAGCAGGTTTTGCTGCAGCTAGCCCTGTGGTGGAAATCGACTCCAGTGCATATTTCCTTTAGTTTAACAGCAGACCCTTATTTGATCTCATCACTTCTATGCCTAAGAAATATCGGAGTTCCCCCAAATCCTTGTCTTTAAATTTGGTGTGCAATGTACTCTTAGCCTCTTCCACGAGGGACATGTTGCTACCAGTGATTAAGAGATCATCAACATACACTAAGATAACAACAATGTCATGTGCTGTTTGCTTAGTAAATAAAGAGTGATCATATGCACTCTGTTGATATTCTGCTCCTACTAAAGCATCCGTGAGCTTAATGTTCCATTGTCTTGAAGCCTGTTTCAGGCCATAGAGTGATTTCAATAATCTGCAAGTTTTATTCTCCCCCTAGCTATGGAAATCCTGTGGCAAGACCATGTATATTTCCTCATATAGATCACCTTGCAGGAATGCATTGTTGACATCCATTTGCTAGAGGATCCATCCCTTTGAGGCAGCTATGCTAAGGACAGTTCTCACAGTTACCATTTTGGCAACTGGTAAGAATGTCTCATGATAGTCCAACCCTTCTTGTTGAGTGTATCCTTTTGCGACCAGTCGTGCCTTAAACCTCTCAACCTCTCCGTTTGATTTATATTTGATCTTAAATACCCACTTAGAACCAATTGGCTTCTTCTCTTCTGGCAAGTCTACCACCTCCCAGGTGTGATTTTCTTCAAGTGCTTTAATCTCCCGGTCTATAGCTTGTATCCACCTTGGGTCATGGGCAGCTTCCTTAAAAGATTGTGGCTCAGTTAAGACTGAAAAAACACTGAGATATGACTGATATGTAGGAGATAGGTTATCATAGGAGATGGCATTAGAAATTGAGTAGGGATTGTTAGTGTATGTCTTAACAGTGGTGATGTAATCCTTAAGCCAAATGGAAGGTTTTCCTTGTCGACTAGACTTCCTAGTCTCTACTTCCTCAGATGCTGGTTGTGGATGCATCTCCATTGCACCTGCTTCTTCTGTTGTTTCTAAGAGAGGTTCCTGAACTTCTGTTGTCTCAGCTGCTTGTTCAGAAATAGAATTTTCATTTATTGGGGCTGCATTCTCATGTTCTCCACCAGATACTACATGGTCTATGACTGTTGCATCACTTGTATTTTCCACTTCTGTAATAGTATTGTCATCAAATGGCAACTGCATGTCTTGGGGTGTAGTTGGAATTACAGTTGCATGTGGTTGCTGCACATCTCCTGCTGCAAATGAATGTTGAGAAGTGAAGAGATCCTCTGAACCATCTGAATGTAGTACTGTCAAAAGGAAAAATCTCCTCTTTGAACAACACATCTCTGCTAACTAATATACTCCCTTTCTCTAGATCATACAGCCTATAACCCTTTTGAGTTTCTGAGTATCCAATAAGAACAACCTTTCTAGCCCTGACTGTGAATTTATCACCTTTAGGTAGGTTACTTGCATAGCATAAGCGACCAAATACCCTTAAGTGATCTACTTTAACTGGCTTTCCATACAACAACTCATAAGGTGATTTACCTTGCAATACACTGGTGGGCAACTTGTTTATCAAGTACACTGCAGTTCTTACACAATCACCCCAGAACCTCCTAGGAACTGAGCTTTGAAACTTTAAGGCTCTTGCAACCTCCAATATATGCCTATGCTTTCATTCAACCACCCCATTTTGTTGTAGGGTGTATGGACAACTACTCTTGTGTATAATCCCAAGAGAAGCAAACAAGGTATTGCATTGAGAATTGAAGAACTCAGTACCATTATCTGATCTAACAACCTTCACAGTGGTTTCAAACTGAGTCTTTATCATTGCAAGGAAGTTCTTTATTACAGCAACTACTTCACATTTATATTGTATTAAGCATACCCAAGTAAATCTGCTATAGTCATCTACTATTGTAACAAAGTAAAGCTTCTTGCATATGTAGGTACCTTATGAGGTCCCCAAACATCCATGTGTACAAGCTGGAAATAACTACTTGACCTGGTGCTACTAACAGGAAATTGTAATCGACATTGCCTTGCTAAAGGGCACACTTCACAATTGTCATGCACTCTAGTATGTATCTTATTCTTCAACTCTAAAATATGCTGCATAGACTTTGCTGATGCGTGGCCTAGTCTCAAATACCACAATCTTGTTTCTCCATTTTCCTTCAGAAAACTTGTTGCTGTTATTGGCAAATTCTCTTTTATCAGGTACAATCCATTGTTTTCTCTACCAATCCCCATTACCTTGCCATTGTAAAGCCCCTGAAATATACAGAAATCAGGGTAAAAGCCAACTGAGCAACACAATTATCTAGTGAGTTTTGATACTAATAATAGGTTAAATTTAAAGTCGGGCACATATAGGACTCCTTCAATAGTTTTATCCCCTAAGACTACTGCATCTCCTGTATGTGTTATGTCTGCCTTATTGCCTGTTGGTAACTATACTCCATCTGTTCTATGATCTGCCCTTTTAAGATTATCTAAAACACTCTTGCAATGTGTCACATGGTGAGTTGTACCTGAGTCCACTATCCAAACATGATCACCAGCAGCTACATTTGTCAATAAAGTGATAATACCTGCAGTGTTTGTGGAACAATCATTTGTGGTGGTGTTCTGCAACAAATTAACCAATTGTTTGTATTGGTCCTCAGTAAAGAAATTTCCTTGCGTGGGCAGCATAGGTGCCTGCTTTTCCTCACTGGTGGTTGCATTGTTCACGTAGATCCTGCCTCCTGAGTTTTGACTCTTCTTCTTGCTTTTGAAATCTGGTGGATACCCCACTATCTTGTAACAATTTTCCTTGAGGTGTCCTTTATAACCACAATAATCATAGACTAATCTTGGCCTCCTAGGACTGAATTCATGACTCTTTCCTGCCATCATTGTGAGTGGATCCTTTAGTGTGTCTGTGACCCCTAGGGTTCTTTGACTTTCTTCTTGTGTGACTATTGCGTAGGCTTCATTCACAGTGATTACAGGTCTTTTAGCCCAAACATTACCTCGAATATTACCATAGCTTTCATTCAATCCCATGAGAAACTACAATAGATGTATGTTCTTCAAAAGCTCTACAGAAGGTCTGGATTCTTCACAATCACGTGAGTTTAGAGGCGCTATTACATCTAATTCATCCCATAGATCCTTCATCTTAGAATAGTAACTAGTAACCGAGTCAGTTCCCTGTCTCAAAGTCGCAATAGCAGTCCAAAAATGATAAATTCTCGTTAGATTTGATCTATCAAATCTCTCCTAAAAATCAGCCCAATTGCATTTGATGCATACACGATGCTAGGCATCAATTCATTAGAAACAGTACTACCAATCCATGAGAGAACAATTGCGTTGCATTTCTCTCATTGCTCTGCTAATTCGCCTCTATACATGCCTTTCACACAGGATCCATCCACAAATCCAAGCTTGCTCTTTCCCCGGAGTGCCAATTTCATCGCCCTGCTCCACAATGCGTAGTTTTCTGGACTTGTGAGCTTGAGCGGAATTAAGACGAGTCATGGAGCATCTGAAGCTTGCAAAAATAGTGGATGATTATGATCTAGTGAACTGACTTCGTTATCCGCCATGGCTATTAGAAATTGAGCTCGAAATCGTAGAATTCCTTAGCTCTGAACTTCGCCGGAAAACCTTGATTATCGCCGGAAATCGATCGGAATTACAGTCTTGCGATGCCCGCTCTGATACCATGTTAGATTCTAGCTAACGAGAGAAACAGAGAAATGAATGAGGAAGAAAAGTTCAATCTGTATTGTCTAAGAGAGGTCGTTCAATACAATGTCTTATAGTGCTAATGTGCACTAACAAATTGACAGCACATAGCCAGCTGTCAAATAACCCAACTAACTACTTAACTTATATTGTAACTAATTCAAAGACCCCTTATACTTCTATTGTGTACACTTTAATACCCTATATCCCAAGACTTAGCATAAGCTTATTTTGAAGCAAGTTCACTATTCCAGCTAAACTTAAAGCGTATTTAATATTGGAGCCAAGCTCGATGAAACCTCTAAAAAGAGGATCCAAAAAAGGGCGATGATTGACATTAAACCAAGACCTTCAATTTCATAAGTAAATCAAAAACAAAAACAATATCTAGGACTAGGAAGATAAGATCAACAAGTAAATCAAAAGTATTTCCATAAAAAAATAATTGAGCACAACAGAAAATTGAGGGAAAGTAGTATTCAAAGAAGTTACGTGTAGGTGCCGATGATGGGGGAAAGCAAGAGAGTAGCGCTGATCCAATTCTCTGAAACTTTGTGATGGATCTTAGCAGGAAGATCCTTCCATAGACCAGGCATTACCTTCTGCTGGAAAGGTGACAACGCGTAAACAACTGCCTTCAGCTTCACCGGCTGCTTTCCCATCTTCTCAGCGTTTCGCATATGCAGAAATGTCCTTTCTCGAGAGGCCTCTTTTGGACTTCGGACTCGAAACAGGATTACCCGAGACCCACCCCATCTTGAACACTGTGCTCTACTATGTTTTTGAAGTATTAATCGATCAACTACGCAACTCCTATCACAATGATTATTTTTATAAAAATAAGACTGCATTAATATTATATTAAAAATTATGCAGGTAAGCAGAGGCAACTTTTGACTTGTTTTTGATTAATTTTCATATTTTAATAGATTTTTATCATTAAATCTTGGATTTCATAGGGTTGAAATGAGGTTTTTGGATAGAACTTAGGACTTTTGTATATTTGAGATTTAGACCTCGAATTGAGGTCGGATCTCGAAATAAATCACATATTTGGACTTGGGATGAATGGGTAATTCCAGATTTGGTCTTAATTTTTGATTTCGACCATGTGGTCATGGGTTGATTTTTTGTTGACTTTTCCAAAAAAGGTTAAAGATCGAACCTTTTTGATATTAGGATAGTTTCTAAATCTTGTTTTGACTTACGTAGGCATTATTTGACTAGATTCGAGTGGTTTGGAGGTTTGATCTAAAAGTTGTGTTAGATTATTAATTTTGTTCCGTAAAGCGATAAGTATCATGATTAACCTTGATTTGAGGGAGTTAGCTGTGATTGGACTATTTACTACGTGCTCCATGTGTTGGGGGACCGCATATATGCAAGATGACGAGTGTATATGCGTTGTCATGGATCAAAGGATGCAGGTGGAACTAGTTTATTTTATGTCTCATTTATTACATGCTCTTACATGTTTCGTACTTTTATCTACTACATATTTTGCTTGTTCCATGCCTTATTTGTTACATGTCTTACTTGACACATGTTTTACATGCTACATCCTTTACTTGATACACGCCATTATTTGTTATTTGCCTTTATCTGATTCATGTCTTCTATTGAAATACGTGTTTTTACTTGTTCACACTTTTACTGAATAAATGCCTTTACTAGAATATGCCTATACTTATTCCCTACCATAATTATTTCATGCTTTACTTTTCAATGCTATGTTGGGGATTGAGCGATCATTTAATCGTTTGTGTGCTAATGACCCTATTTGGACCCTTATCGTGCTACATGAGTAAAATTAGCTCTAGAAATTTGGGGATTTGCCATTTCTGCTTATTAGTGTTCATTCTTTAAGTGCCCGGTCCCGTCCCGTCCCGCCAGCCCTCTTTTGTTTTTTTAAAGAAGCCGTTGGCAACGGCTATAAACGGCCATTTTTGGCCCCTACCCCCTCCCCCTTCCCCAACTTTTAATTTAATCTCTAAGTTTATTAAATTACATTTTGACCGTATTTTTAACTATAAATACCACCCATTCTTCTTTATTTTTCCTCACAAAAATCAATCATTCCCTCTCAAATCTCTTACATTCTATCTATATTCTTCTCTCAATTTTCTCATATCAACTACGTTTCAAGTATTTTGGCAAATTTTTGGAGCAACTTTCAAGCGTCAAATTAATTCGTCAAGTATTGGAAGATATTTTTTGGATAATTTTTTCAAGTTTTAATATTTAATCATAGTGCACTCATTCCATCTCTTAATTTTAATATTTTATTTTTGCGTATCATTTTAGTGCTTTATTTTTTGTGTTTACTTTATGTGTTTTATTTTCGTGTTTTATTTGTGTGTTTATTTTTTGTGTTAACTTTTCGTATTTAAATTATGGCTCCTAAAAAAGTATTTGGCATAATCAACCCATTTAAGAAAAGTAGTAAAGGTGCTATTTGTAGTAATCCTACTCCTTCTCTTAGAATTAGAAAACATATAGATGAAATGACTCATGTTGATGAAACTTCATTTACTGAACCCCCCATATTTTATAATATTAATCCGGGAGAACAACTAGATCATGAAACTTTATAAAGATAATTTGGCAATGATATTTTTAATAAGAAAGAAGAAAATAAGGAAGAAGAATTAGATGAACACCCACTAGTCCAGCAACACAAGCTCCAACTCAGAGACAATCTCGGTCTGGAGCTTTATCCCATGTACCTCCTGTAAGGGGTAAGGCTAAGGCTGAACATACAAAAACATCATTTGTATGGAATTTTTTTGAACATGATAAAGTCAATTTAGTTGTTACCTGTATAATATATAAAGCACGATTTGCATATGGAAAATCTGGTGGGACAGGTTTTTTTAACCAGGCACTTATTTAAAACACACAAGCTTTTATAGATACAAGCTCAAATAGATGCCAGAAAAATACCAGATCCTAGTAGTGGTACTGGTGCTCCTACAGGATCTGGCGGGGGTTTCTAATTTTATCCAACAACAGTTTCACCCTACTTCTGGCACTATACTACGTTCCTATAACAAAGATAAAGATCGTGAAAATTTAGCAAAAATGATCGATATTTGTGGCTTACCTTTTACTTTTCTTTATCACCCTACTTTTGTGCATTATATACAAAAGATTTATATCCTGCTTTTCAATATTTTTCTAAGACCACATTTAGAAATGATGTTTTTAAATTTCAAACTGAATATCTTCAGTATATTCGTTGTGTAGTTTTTCACTTAGACTGTATAGTGTCAATCACATCTGATATAGATCATAGTCTTAACAATAATGATTATTTAACTGTTACATGTCATTGGGTTGATCATGACTGGAACATGCAAAACGTATTGTTGCGTCCCTTTTTCTCGTGAAATCGGGCTTCGACATGTGACAACTCTTTTAAGGAGGTATTAAAAGAGGAGAGTCGCCACCTAATAATTTTTAAGGTGTGTTAGGTCACCTATTTGCAAATAACTTTATTTTAACTAGTCAAAGCCACCAAAGATCGGGTAAGATCTCAAGTTACCTCAAAGAGAAGGTGTCAGGCACTCCTCGAGATCCACAACTATGGGTCCCGGTCGAACTTAAATTATATGGATTAGTCTATGTGATCAAGTAAGCAAAGAGAGTACAAAATCTAAGAATTTTATTATAAAGAGATCTTGAATAGGGGGTGCAGCTATTTTTTCCTTCTAATAAAAAAGAAACAAAAGGGAGGGGGGAGGGGTCCTAAGTTTTTTAGCCTAAAGGATTACCCCGTGCAACATAAATAATATTTCGTAACTCCCTTGAGATAGGGTGTTACTCATATTATCCAGCGGGCACAGACTATCATCTCCTGCTACCCGATTACTATGTTAAAGTTGTTTACCTAAGAGCGCTCTAATTCAATTCTAAGTCGTACCCTACGCGTGGACTACCCGTACCATACCTATGGTCCAGGAGGTTTTGGACCTCTATTTAGATGGTTCTAGACCTTATCTAGGCTGCTCAAAAATGCAAAACTAGGCGACAAACAAAACACATATTGGACTTCAAATATGGTAGTTAAGGGCTCAAGTTAGCCTCCACACTTAAGCAACAAATGCACGCGAAACAGGTTTTTATGTTAGGCCATTTCAGAATTAAGAACCTTAAGCCCTATAGACATGATTTCTATGTGACTATGCATTAAAACATACAAGCGGTTTCAAGGACTAGGCGCTGCTTATCTCCAAATAATTATACGATTGTTGCATGCTGATTTGAGATTGCAGATTTTCAGTTATTAAGCCTGCTGTGTCTAGGTGACTCGTGCAGTAAGGAATAATGAAAGGACCATTGGGAAGATCCCAGAAGTGCATAATAAACTGTATTGAGAGGTGCAACATTGACTCTTATTAAGACGAAACAGTGTTGTCCTATAGACAGGATCTTTAATGTTTAGCACTTGGAGCTGATTTTATCATTACACTCAACCCTATAGACATGTTTTCTAGGTGAACAGTGCGATGCAGTAACGGATGGGATGATTAAAATCCTATAGGCATAGTTTCTAGTAAACAGTACGAGATAATAGCAAGCGAGGTGATCAAAATCCTATAGGCACGATTTCTAATGAATATGCTGAAATGAATTGAAAGAAAGTTCATTGACATTTGTTCCTATAGGTAGGTTTTCTAGTAACACGTAGCAGTAAGAATAATTGCAGCATTTGAATTCATGTTTTCCAACAGACAGTGTGTGTGTGTGTGTGTGTGTGTGTGTGTATCCTAATGACATGGTTTCTACAGTGTACATATAAATTGAACGGCACATATAGCAAGTGAATCAATGAGTCCTATAGGCATGTTGTCTACCCCTTTTACACAAACATTAAGAATCTACCCCTTCCCCATTTTTACTAATAGCCCAATCGTTTATACAAAAGTTATTACAGGCCCAATAATGAGTAAGATACAAATGTTATACAAATAATGACAATAGGCCCATAACCGGTCCAAATGAAATACCCAGCATTGTCTGGGCCTTCAGCAATTCTCACACAGCATACCCAGACTTCTAACAAGGAGCCGTATTCATCAACACAACCCCAGAATCCATAGAGGAGCCCGAAGTTAATTCATATAACCATATTGCCAAGTATTGCATCATTTAAACCAACCGACTTAGATGTACAACAGATAATAGGAAGAAAGGGGTTGAATGGGAGTAGTTTAAGTTTCAGGGAATGACTAAGGACTCAAATCCTAGTGTGTCAGAGTTCACAAGGGCCTCAAATGGACCCCGAGCAGTGCTCACACTAGGGAAGTCAACAGTAAAGCCTAGGTAGCCTTGGCTTTCAGCCGGCTAAGAATGAGAAATTTAAGAGAGCATAGGTAATACGTGAAGGAGAGTGGACCAAGGTTCAGAGACAGGAATTGATGGATACAATTATAACTTAAAACAGACATGGCCAAGTTGAGCATATAGAGCAGATAATCGAACAGGTCACAGGATTTAAAAGCAAGTTTAGTAAAGATTTAGAAGCAGATTCGACACTTAGCACATAGGCAATCACATATTGGCAGAGTTAAGCAAAGAACAAATTTGCAGGATTGACAAAGATTATCATGCACAAATGTCCAACACCAAACAGGTGAAAACCTAAAGGTCCAAATTATGCTAAGTATATATCCTAGTGTCATAAAATAGCCATGTTAATTTCACATCAGATGCAGAACTACATTAGACATGATGGGGCAACACAGATTATGACAATTACTGGTGGATCAAGTGAGCCAAAAACATGCCGAGGGACATATTAGCAGAGAGGCA